TACAGGAATTCATCCCTCTGTTGAAATAACAAAGCTGTCTGAAACTGTCTTGAAGCAACTCCTTTAGAAATCTGGCATCTAGTAGAGCACTTTGTGTCCAGGGGATAGGTAGAGGAAGAGACTGGTAGATTCCATTTAATTTCCATTTAACTCTTAGCAGCTGCGACCCTGCCCCCAGTCTTTTGGCAGGCAGCCCTGTGAACACTGAGTTCCCATATTTCTCTTCCTCAATGATTTCAGCTATTGAAGAACATACTGGTTGCTCTCAAGTTTTGACAATTATAGATAAAGCTACTATAAATATTCATGTACAAAGTTTTGTGAGGAACTTAAGATTTTTTTATATTGTTTTGTTTTGTTTTTTCTTTTTCTTTTTCTTTTGAGACAATGTCTTGCTATATAGTTCAGGCTAACTTTGAATTCACTATGTAGCTCATGCTGGCCTCAAACTCAAGGCAGTCCTCCTGCCTCAGACTCCCAAGTGCTGGGATTACAGGCATGCACCACCATGCCCAGTGGGGGACTTAAATTTTTAAAAGTCATTTGGATAAATATCTAGATGTATAATTGCTGGATTCTGGTAAGACTGCTTAGCTTTGTAAGAAATTCCCAGTGTTACCAGATGGCATGGTGACCAGTGAGTTCAGGATCTTTCTGTCCTGCCCAAAGAACTGGCTGGGATACCTGATGAATAGATAAATGCAACTTTTGTTAAAAATAAAGGAAGTAGGGCCGGGGATTTAGCTCAGTGGTTTTGCCACCTGCTGTGCAAGCGCAAGGATCCGAGTTTGATCCCTGATACCAAAAATAAAATAAAATAAAATAAAGGAAGTGGCCTGGGGATTTAGCTCAGTGGTTCTGCCGCCTGCTGAGCAAGCGCAAGGATCCGAGTTTGATCCCTGATACCAATAAATAAATAAATAAATAAATAAATGAAGCAAAGGAAAGAGTGAAGAAAAGAGCAAGAAGACATATATCCCACAAGTAGGACGGGCCATTGTGGAAACGACAGAAGAGCAAGATCACAATGGCATCAAAGATTCTGGCAGTGGGAAGTTGCTCTGCCCACACATTCTGGCTGTGATTGACAAGTCACATGTTGTTTAGCGTTCAGTTCTGGCTCGTTACATCTGGTTTTAGCCAGCCTGGCATGTCCTAATTTCCTTCTCACCAACATATCTTCCAAAGTTCAGTGGACCCTTGAGTTACGACAGATCTGACATGTGAACAACTTGGGTTACAACTGGAATTTTAGTTTTAACTTATGACCAAAATCTTGAGTTCTGACCCAAATGCCAGGTGCTTGTGCTTCCAGATGGTCTCAGACAGATTTAACCTTTAGAGTTCTGGAAGGAACATTACAACATCCTCTCCTATGTGGGGTTGAGAAATCCAAGGTCAATGTCTCTTTAAGGACACTGAGATCTGGCTGTATCTAGGAGAGAGACTTTTTTTCCATTAACATTATTGGTACATTTTAAGTATACAGGACAGTTACATTCATCATTAGGATCTTGTACCTTTACATGATGTATCTTGGTTCTTATTTTTTCCCCATTCCCCTGCCTAGGAGAGAGACTTTGAAGGCTGTGTAGAGATGCCTGAGCCTTCACTGACCAACTTGAGTTACAACTAGCAACAGAAACAAACTGAGTTCATAAGTCAAGGGTCCGCTGTAACTATACTACTATGGTTTGATCTAGAATGTCCCAAGTCTCATATGTTCAGAAGTGGAGTATTTAAAAGGTGATTGGATGGATAATGAAACCACTATACTCACCAGTGGATTAATCCATTGATGAGTTCATAGCTGAATGTGTTATTAAGAGATAGGGCCTAGTTGGAAGAGGTATGTTGGTGTGGACATGACTTTGGAGGGTGTATCTCCCTTCTCGCCTCCTCCTTTTGCTCTCTGCTTCCTGGCTGCCAGGTGGTGAGCAGTTTTTCTCCATTATGTCCTTCAACCATGATGTTTCTACCTTGGAGCCAGTCAGTCATGGACTGAATTCCCCAAACCATGCAGCAAATTAAACCACTCCTCCTCTAAGTTGCAGGTGTCAGGTATTTTGTCCCAGTGACAGGAAAGTTGATTAGTACAGATACCATTTTGCATTCCCACCAACAATGAATAAGAATTCTTTGCCTGAATTTGATGTTGTTTTGGATTTTTGCAATTGCAAAAGGTATGTAGTGCTATCTTATTGTTTTTATTTGCAGTTCTCTGATGACATATGATATTGAACATCTCTTTATATGCTTACTTGCCATCTATGTATCTTCTTTGATGAGGTGTATTCAGTTTTTGTTGCTGTTTTTTCGACAAGGTCTCGCTCTGTAACCTTGAACTCATGATCCTCCTGTCTCAGCTTTTTGAGTGCTGAGATTACAGGCATGCCCCACTATGCCCAGTTTGTGGCTTGTTTTTTTAGTCTCTTAATGTCTTCTCTCATGGATCATAATTTTGGTATTTTGTCTAAAGTCTCATCACCAAACCCAAGATCACCTTGATTTTCCTTTCCTCTGTTATCTTCTTGGAATATTATAATTTTATGTTTTTTTCTATATAATTTTTATGTTTTATAGTTAAATCAATGATCCATTTTGAGTTAATTTTTGTGAAAGGTCTAAAATGTGTCTAGGTTTGGAGGGGGGATATAGATAACCAATTGTTCTGGCTCCTTTGTTGCTCCTCTATCAAAGACCAATTGACTGTATTTGTGTAGATCTATTTCTGGGCTTTATTCTACTCTACTGATCGACTTTTACTAATACAATATTGTCTTAGTTACTGGAGCTTTCCTGTAAGTCTTAAATTGGGTAGTGTCAGTCCTTTTTCTTCAATAGTGGGCCAGGGATATAGTTCAGTGGTGCTGTGCTGGCCTGGCAAGCGCAAGGTCCTGAGTTCAATTCCTGGTACCAAATATATATATATATATATATATATATTTTTTTTTTTTTTCTTGGTACCGGGGATCGAACTTGGGTCCTTGCACTTATGCAGCAGGTGTCGAAACCACTGAGCTAAATCCCTGGCCCAAAAAATATATTTTGTGCTGGCTATACTTTGCTTTTCAATTTTCCATATAAACTTTAGAATTAGCTTATCTATATCTGCCAAAGCTTACTGAGATCTTTTTTTTTGAACCAGGGATTGAACTCAGGACCTTGTCCTTTCGAGGCAGGCACAGCACCACTGAGCTAAATCCCCAGCCCACTTGCTGGAATTTTGAGATTGTGAATTTGTAGATCAAGCTGTGAAAACAGACACCTTGATGATGCTGAATTTTCTTTTCCACTCCACATGGAATAACTCTCCATGCATTTAGTTCTTTAACTTCTTTCATCAGTTTTGTAATTTTCACCTAGATCGTGCATATTTTTAGAGATTATAGCTAAATGTTCCTTTTCGTGCTAGTATAAATGGCATTATATATTTGGATTTTTGTTTTGTTTTTTTGAGACAGAGTTTCACTATGTAGTCCTAAGCCCAGGCTAGACTCAAACTCATGGCAGTCCTCCTGCCTCAGCCTCCTAAGTGCTGGGATTATAGGCATGAGTCACCATGTCTGGCAGGCATTTTGCTTTTAATTTCAAATTGCTATTGTTCATTGCTGATATATAAGAAAACAATCAGCTTTTATGACTCAAGTATATTTTTCACTTCAGGTTATAATTTTCAGTTTCAGAGTTTGTTAATAGTTTGTCAGTATCTTTTTTTCTTTTTTTTTTTACTGTGAATAGGTCATACTTTTTTATTTGCTTCTTTTTCTTTTTTTTTTTTTAAGAACTGGATATCCTATTATACTGTGTTAACTCTGGAAATTGTATTCTTCCATTCTTCAAGGACTGCTAAATTTTGCTTGAGAGCTAGAGCTATCGTGATTTTTGTTTTTGGACAGAATCTCACTATGTAGTTCAGCCTGGTCTTGAACTCACTATGTAACCCAGGCTGGCCTTAAACTCAGGGCAATCCTCCTGCCTCAGCTTCTCGAGTGTTGGGACCACAGGCATGTGCCACCATCTATTGTGATTTTTAAATCATTTTGCTAAGTGTATGTTCCTTGCGTGTGGCTGCTGAAGTTTTTGTTTTATCTCTGAGGTCAAATGGTGACCTGACAAAAGCTGTGGGGGAAAAAGGCACTGTTGATCTAAGAGATGGAAGGGAGCATGGTACAGACATAAAAACTAAAGCAACATTTTCAGGGTACTGCCAGACCCACCGAAGTGTACAAACCCAACTTTTTGGAAGGCAAGGCCTCCACTGCTGTCCTGGCAAGAGTCAGCTGCTTCTGGAACTGGGGCTGCTATCCCATGGTGGGTGACTGACCCATGCTCTGTCCCTTTACCCAGGACCCTCTGTTGTTAAATGTCTGATCAAGGTTCAGAGTTCTCAAATAGCTGATTACAATCACTAGTCTGTCCAGTTCAATGGTTCCTTTGATTGCGGTACCAATCCCTAGAGCAGTGATAGCAAACCTATGGCACATTTTGTTTTGTTTTTGGTACCGGGGATAAAACTGAGGATTTTGCGCTTGCAAGGCAGGCGGTGGCACCACTAAGCTAAATCCCTGGCCCTGGCACATTATTTTTAAGACAAAAAATGTTAATGAGTTATTTTTTCTAAACTAAAACGTCAGTATGCAGGTTTAATTATAGTGTTGGCACTTTGTGATAAGTAGGTTTTGGGTTGCAGTTTGATCACTCATCTCTAAATAGTTTGCCCTAGAGTTTCAGACCCCACCATTATGTATGACCATACTCTACAGTGTTTTGACCATTGTAGCTTTGTAGTAAGTTTTTAATTTGGGAAGAACTTTTCCCTTTGTAATGTTTTGGCTATCTGGGACCTCTTTTTCCATTTTTATAAGAAAAGGCCATTGATAGTTTAATATGGATTATATTGAATTTGTTGACTGGATTTTGATGTGCTGGAATCTCCTTCTGAAGGTGGTTTCCAGGTTTTTTCCATTTCGAACAAAGAACTGAGTGAAACAAACAAAAACAGTGGCAAAGTTTCATTTATTTGAAAAGTGAGGGGTAAGGGAGGAACTGGCTCTACAGAGTGAGCTTGGGTGGAATAAAAGAGGAAAAAACCTAAAAACCAAAATAAAATAAAAATATAAAAGTATGTCCTGGGGCCAGAGGGCAGGCTACTGTGAGCAAAGCCACAATAGTCCGCTTTCAATGGAGTCATTTCCTTTTATTCATTTCACATATTGCAGGTTCTCACACAGAATCTTGAGAATTGTCATGTGTGTGTCTTGGGATCTGATCCCTTCCCAGCCAGTCTAAGCTATGCCCTGTCTCCTGTCTCATCAGCTACTTGGGAGATTGAGGCACAAGGATCACAAGTTTAAAGCTAGCCTGGAAACTTAATGAGACTTTGTCTTAAAAATTTTTTTTAAATTAATTATTCGGGGCCGGGGATTCAGCTCAGTGGTTCCTGTGCCTGCCTCATAAGCACAAGGTCCCGAGTTTGATCCCCGGTACAAAAAAAACCAAAAAAAAAATTAATTCTTTGGGGCGGAGATTTAGCTCAGTGGTTCCAGCACCTGCCTTGGAACCACAAGGTCCCAAGTTCGATTCCCGATACCAAAAAAAAAAATTAATTAATTAATTCTTCTAATCCAAAAACAAGATGTCTGAGACAGACAAGCATCTGAGCTTCATTTTTCCCTGCGCCAGCTACAGCGGGGATGTGGCTTGGCCAACAGCTGTCTACCCTTTCTCCTCGCTTTCCTTTCCTTCCCCTTGTATGCCAATGGACTGGGACAGTTGGGTTCAGTGTCCTCCCTGGCCATCAAACCACCATTCTCCACTCTAATGTAAGTGTAACCAGGAAGGCAGTGTGGTGCCTCTCCACTACTTCCACCACTTCACACCATACTATTGCAGTGTTGTTTGTTTTTGAGACAGGGTCTCACTATGTAGTTGAGGCTGTCCTCGAATTCCCTGTGATCCTTCTGCCTCACACTCCGAAGTGCTGGGATTACAGGTGTGTACCACAATGCCCAGCTATACTGTTCCAGTTTTGATGGAAAGAGCGTCCTGGAGTGGCTAAGGTCAGGAAAGGAGGGATCTGGGCCCCTTATTTGCATACCCAACATTCACAGCAAGCCTTCAAGAAGATTCCCTGGTTTCAGCCTTCACCCTCACTGGAACAGGTCTGCAACTGCTACATAAATAGAACTTCCTAGACACTTTTGGTTTTAGTCTAGGAGGCCTTGCTTCTCTGTACTAGCGCCATTTTGCTGCAGCACAGGCCCTGTTAAAATAAACACTTACTTTGGTGTTCCAGTAAACCTGCTCTTGATTCATTTCTCAGGTAGTGTGGACTGAGCAGTTAAGTTTCCAAAGAAAGACAAACACTCAGAGCTGTTAACACTAAAGAGCTCCAGAGAGCAGCAGATGGCAGAGACCAGCAACTGGTAGAACTGACCTACCGCCAGCAACAGCAGTGACCAGCAGCTAGCTGTCAACTAATGGCATCCATCACTATTAGGACTGCTAGCAGCACTGTGCTTTGTTGATTCACAATTTCCGTCTAAAGTGAGTCAAAGAATGCCAGGCTGAATGGCAACATTTCCATATATTTAGGTCAGTCTTGTTTTTTTTGGGAGGGGGGCGGTGTACCAGGGATTGAACTTGGGACCTTGCACTTTCAAGGCAGGCACCAGAACTACTGAGCTAAAACCCCAGCCCTAGGTCAGTCTTGTTTTTTGGGTTTTGCTCACTTTTCGGTTTTCAGGGTTTTCTGGGCGGAGGGGATCATCATCCCTATTTGTAAAACTTTTTCATTATCCCAAACTCTTATCATTAAGCAGTGACTCCCCAATTTCCCCCCTCTCTAGTCCTTGGTATCCTCTATTTTACTTCTGTCTCTATGAACCTGCTCATTCTAGATACTTCATATAAGTAGAATCATACAGTAGTTCTTTTATATCTGGTTAATTTCATTTAGTTGTCATAAGTTCTTAACCAATATCCTGATTCATTAGATCCTCACTCCTGTGAGGTTGGTACTGGTACTCTTGTCCCCACTTTATAAAAAAAGCCGAGCACAGAGTAGGTAACTTACACGAGAACACTCAGCAGGTGAAGTGCTGGCAGCCAGCTTCTACTCTTCAGTCTGATGCTGCACTGACCCTTACTACACCTCGAATCATGTCAGCCCCATAACTAAGAGCATCACCTCCTTTCCCTATACCCTAATGTTTCTCTAGATTTACTAGAAAGTAGCTGGTCACCTTCAGCCTAAAGCATTCACTCACACTCCCTGTTCCTCTCATCCCTGTGCCAACCCATGCTGGGCCCTGGGTAAACTCTTGTTCAATAGCTGGAGAGGGAGGTTTAGGGGGTCCCGGCCAGGCTAGGGGTCAAGCAGGGAAGCACTCTGGGAGAAAGTGCCCCTAAAGGCAGGACCTGAAGCCTCACAATTTGGCCACTGGTAATTTGTTGTGCTTGCTATGAGTGTCCTATATGGAGAGATCTTGGTTCTACTTTTGAGGATCTACTTTCCTCCTTATGGCTTGTGGGCTATGTCCTGGTTAGACTGGGGAAAACGGCAGTGCTCTCATTCTTGCTAGAGTCTCTTTAGCCCTCTGAGAGTTCCCACACCTAGTGATGAAACTGCTAGGTCTGAGTCTAGGTGATGCTCCTACATTAGAAAGTCATCCCAAGCAGCTTTCCAAAATCTCAATGGAAATTTATACTCCCAGAGCCAGGAAGACAATCTTTTGTTATTTTCCCCCATCCTCTCCCTACCACCACCCTCTATCTACCACTCTGCTTGGCCCATGCCGTGCTTAGCATTAAGCCAGGGCAGAAGGAAGCTCTGGCTAGGTTGCTTGAGAAACCTCAGTACTTCTGTCCATACACACAATCAATATGTGACTGTGGTCTCCAGGACCAGAAGAAACTCAGCCAACTGATGATCATTGCTATAAACAGGAGCTTAAAACAAGGAGCCAATCAAAATTGTATGGACTCTTTAAAGATAAGCCCAGTGTTGTGGGGTAAGGCAGGATGAGCACAGGAAGTAGTCTCTTTGTCTCATTCGAGGCTTTGTCTGCTCGTCTGCCCTTGCTCTCAGGGCTAGACCTGAAAGAGGCCATCCCCTAAAAGATCCCTGGCCTGGCCAGTTCTTGGTCTGCTTGTTGGAGGCATGTATCTGGCTACTGCTCAGACTGTTCTCTTTACCACAGGAAGGTATCCAGCTTGGTCTGAGAGGGAGGCTGCACAGTCTTTACCCTCACTCTCTGCTTAGTCTTGGCCTTAGGCTTAATTGGCAGTGGGTGGATCACGGCTGTGTCAGTCTGGAGGAGATGTTAAGGAAGAGGCTTGGAGAGAGTACTGGAGTGTAGGTTAGAAAAGGTTCAGACCTGGGGTGGACAGTTCTACTACAATGAACAAGGCCCAGCTCTGCACACCTGAGGCTGCAGGGATTCATAGTCTGATGTCTAGGAGTGTGTGGTGTAGGCTACACAGCTCAGCCCAACCCACTGCAACAGAACAAGGATACAGGTTGAATGAATTTTGTCCGGCCCCCAAGGCCATCAAAGCCTGTTCTTACCTAGGGCAGAAGAAAGAGATGAGTGGACCAGGCTAATGGGCTAGGGAGCTGCCTACTTTGAGATGGCTGGAAACTGTCACTTGTGGGAAGCCACACTTACCACATCTGTGCTGCGACAGGACTCTGCTATGGTCCTCTTGGGCTGTTTCTGACCCAGGATTGCCTTTTGGATGAAGACAGGAAAGGCACGAGCTAGTTCCTCATCTGGCTCTCCTACACAGCGCTGGCCACCCAGAGAGAGCTGGGACTCCTGCAGGGGAAACCCCAGAGCTAGTTTTGAAGAGTCAAGTGGAAGCAAAGTAGGGAGGGCAGTGGCGGCAGAACAAGATCAGGATCTCTGGTGCCTCACCAGGAGGCAGGAAAGATAATAGGGTTACAGGGGTGGTTCGAAGGTATCTCAGACCTGGGCCAGGGGAGAGGGCTCTGATAACACTCTGCCCCCCCAGGGTTGGATGGTGACTACCTGTACTTTTTTCTCGCAAGCCCCTACCTGTGTGGAAACTTTGGGCATCTTCCTGTGGATGTCTTGAACAGGAGAGCTACAAGAGTGAAACACAAAGGCAAGGGTTGGGAAAACAAAACATAAGGGCCAGCATATGTCCTTAAGGGAGCCACCAAGTGGCATGGTGCTGTCATAGCTGTGCTCTGGGACAGGCGCCAGTGGGAAATGTTTCAGTGGTATCCACCCTAAGTGCAGATCTGTGAACAGCTGGACAGAAGAGTGGCTGAGTCAGGGTAAGCTAGAAAATGTCCCAATCTTGTGGCTTCACTGCAATGCTCCCCAAGTGCTTGGGTACCTCATTATGTTCTAGGCTCTACATGGGGCTGGGGAACCCGAGCAATTCATCACAGCAGAAGTCCAGTCATGCCCTAATACAAGCAGGAGGCATCCAATGAGCTCAGGCCTAGTCCTGCCCACACAGAGAGGGGACACAACCTTAACGAGACCCTCAGTAAGTTAGCCACTTAGTAAGGTAGCCCAGAGTACTCTAAGGACACTAGGTCAGTCCATCACCCTACAGAATGTGTGCAGGGAAGGTCTGAGGCAGAACAGAGATGGCCCCAGGCCTAGCTTCTTACTTCCAGCCCCAGAACTGGGCACTGTTTCCAATTCCTGGGGGCCCTAGCAGCTAGATACCCTCTCCTGGTATTTCTCCAGGTGAGTGGGAGAATGTTGACCTATAGCTGGTCTTGTTTATTTTCAAGACACAAGAGGAGGCCCAGAGCAGGGGCTGGTGACTCTGGACTCCTTCACTTCAGCCTCTTTAACTTGTGTTAAGGCCATATGACAACCCTAGGAAGACTCTCTACTTGCTACAAGTCTAGCTTTGGGGAGGCTGAGTGGGTTAAAGGCATTCTATGCACCTTCACTTTCCCTCCAGGCCCTGAAGATGACAGCAGTATCTCTAAAACACTTGGCAGCCTGAAGACCCTGGTAACCACCTTCAACCTTAAGGGCTGAAGAGGCAATGGAAGGAAGCCAGGGTATGGAGCAGGCAATGAAGGGTGCCCTGACTGAAGCCCACAAGCCCTGGGTTTGGTTCTTCCCATTGTTACCAGGCTCAAGTGCTATGGTTTGAGTGTTTATACCCAAGGTCGGCAAGCGGCGGCTTGCCCTCTTAACCTCCATTGCCCACTATCTCAACTTCCTTCTCTCATGCCCAATCTTAAATTAAGAAGAAACCTGCTCAGCTCTAGATTTCTGTTACTTGAATAGCACATTCCTACATGTATAAAGGGATGTAGTCTGTCTCCATGATGAACCACACTTGGTGTACCTAGCCAAGAAAACTGCCTTCCTTTTCCTAGTCCCACTGTGCCCCTAATACAGGTTCCACATGCCCCTTGCAGCCCCAGAACTCCTCTGGGCTACTCCCTTGGGTGGTGAGGCCCTGGGCTGCACAGTTTGAAATGGTCCTGCCTCAAGCATAAACCTCAGAGGTGTACAATAGAAAAGGAAGTTTAGAGTCCCTGGCTCGAAACTCTGGTGGGCAGGCATTCAAGGTATTGGAAGTACTTGCCCCAACACTTTATCAGCCCAGAGCTGTCCCTACTGGGATCCCTGCATTCTCTCTAATTCACACCCCAGTATATTACCTTGAAGGGTGACAGTGAAGACTAAGATAAGCAAGGGAAGGGCTTTACATAGATTTGAGGCCAGGGAAGAAGAGGTGGCTAGAACTGAAGTAATGGCTAAGCCCAGGCATCAACCACTCAGAGCCACCAGGGCAGGACCTGAAGAGATGTCTTAGCTGTCCCACTCCAGGTGGTGGACACTGCCAGGGACTGTCACTCACTGTGCCTTTTCCAAGCAGAGCTTCTTGGAGCGGCCATGCTGGGAACCAGAGGGCTGGGCTGGAGGGGTATTCACATCAAAGGTAGCATCAAGGTCAATGGCATTGTGGAAGGGTGGCCGGTGAAGCTTCGGTTTTAGCATCTCCACGGGGGCTGGGCTGAAGGCAGAAATGACCACAGTGGTAGCTCCAAGAGCCCTTCAAGCATAGGAGAGCTCAGCTCAATGGCCCAGATCCCACTCCTGACTCAGCTCAAGCCTTGACAAAGTCATGGGACAGTGAATATCAGAAAGACAGGAGACAAACAAAACCCAAGAAAGTGAGCAACAGACCGTTGCGCCTCGACCATGCAGCTTTATTTCTCAGACTGCAGTGCAAGGAGCAAGAGATGTTGCCATTGACTAATGGAGAGAGGGATGCTTCCCCATCCTATCAGAGTCATCTGCAAACCATTCCTAGTACATCTTCCTTCCTTTATGAGCTAGAGGCCTGTTTCCCTTTCTGCTAGGAGTCTACTTTCTTTCCTTCTCATCTTTTGTTTTTTTTGAGACAAGGTTTCACTATGCAGTCCAGGCTGGCCTCAAACTCATGGTGATCCTCCTGCCTCAGCCTCCGAAGGGATTTACAGGCATGCGCCACCATGCCTGGCATTCCCTCAAATTTCTTAAATAAGACATTTTTTCCAGGTACAGTGGTGCACACCTGTAATCCCAGCTACTGGTACTTGGGAGGGTGAAGCGGGAGGATAGCAAGTTCAAGGTCAGCCAGAGCAATTTAGCAAGACCTTGTTCCAAAATAAAAAATTAAAAGGGCTGGGAATGTAGCTTAGTGGTAGAGCACCCTTGGGTCTGATTTCCAGTAACACAAAAAAGAAAAACAAAAAGAAATTTCTTGGGCTAAGAGTGTGACTCTATGGTATATCCTTGGCCTAGCATGCATGTTGACATGGGTTTGATCTCCAGCCCTGGAAAAAAAAAATTCTTACAAATTCCTCCTAGATGTCAAGAGGAATAACATGGGTCTCTGTGAATGAAATTGAATATATTTCCAATGCTTTCCAAGGAGTATTTTATGTTATAGAATTACCAAAGTATCAAGAAACAAATCAAAGCCCTGAAATTACCCTCATGTGGCCTCATGATGTCTTTTTGTTTCCCCCCCCCTTGAGACAGGTTCTTACTATGCCCAGGCTAGACTCAAATTCCTGGACCTAAGAGATCCTCCTGTTTGGTCTTAAGGAACACACCACCATTCCCAGCTTCATGGGGTCTTCATTTGCACTGAAGCATAAGGCTAGAGGAGTAGCCATCTAGCTGGTGTCTGGCACCCCCTGGGCTGAAATGAATGAGCAATAGTCAGTAACTGATGGAATACAGATCGGGCATACACCAGCCCCTCAGAGCAATCTCCCTCAAGCATCCCCCATGGCTTCTATTGTTTTCTGAGGAAAATCAGTGCTACAAGTCTGATTTGAGAAGTCTCACAGAGCCTCGGCCTGCCTGCCACCAGCCCTCTCCATAAGCACACCCAGCTTGGTTGTGCCACAGGGCCTTTGCATTTGTCATCCTCTTTGCTTAGACTACTTGTTCTTCAGATCTACAAGTTGGTTTAAGAAATACACCAATCCATTGTGATACACTGAGAAAGCTTAAGGCTTCTTCAGAGCTACAGGCAGCACATCAGTTGTATCACAAAAGTTAGGCAGAAGCAGGGACTTTGAGGTCACATGTAGTTCTGATGGTCTTGCTATCAGAACACAAAGAACTGAGGCCATAGCTGCCACTGAGGGGTCAGCAACTTTTTTTTTTTTTTTTTTGGTACCGGGGATCAAACTCAGGACCTTGTGCCACTGAGCTAAATCCCCGGCCTGGTCAGCAGCTATTTTTGAGAGACTGGCACCTTAGGGAAAGATCTGAACTTAGAATAGATTCTGTGGTTAAAAACAAACAAAACAAGAGCTAATACTGATGCCCAGAAAAAGCCTGGTACACATCAGGTTAACCGGGCTCCAACAACAACCTGGAGCACATCTGTTTCCCATGGCACCTGGAGCAGTAGAGGAGGGTGAGCTTACTCGTGCCCAGGAAGCTAAGGTAGGCTGTGCAGGGAGCTGATCCTTCAGTGTGGAGAGGCCCTGAGACAAAGGCAGAGGTGGGAAGGGAAGAAATGTTTTCCTCTAGTGGACAGTATAATTTGGCTTGCTCAATGAATGCCCTGAGGCATAGCACCAATGGTTCTGGGAGGTTTATGTGTATGTATGTGTGCACACGTGTGCATGCATATGCCTGCGTGTGGAGGGAAGCATGATGCCCAGAGCTAAAGAAGCTTCTCTGGGGCTGACATGCTGGGAAGACAGGAGAGGCAGACTCATGGGTCACAAATCTTACATGGAAGTAGTACAAGGCAAAGGTCTGGGAGGTGCTGCATGGGTCAGATGGGAAAGTGCTAGAAACTATTTGAATATGAGGAAGAGGGAATATGTAGAGTTGCCAAAAGACATGAAGAGGTGGATCAACCAGGACATGGTGGCATACACCTGTAACCCAAGCATTCTGGGAAGTTAAGGAAGAGGGACTGTAAGGTCAAGCCCAGTCATGGCAACTCAGTGACTCAGCAAGACCCTGTCTCAAAAATAATTTTTTTAGGGCCAGGGATTTAGTTCAGTGGTTCTGCTACCTGCCTCGCAAGCACAAGGTCCCGAGTTCAATCCCCGGTACCAAAAAAAAAAAAATTTTTTAAAAAGGTCTGGTGCCAGACGTGGTGGTGCACACCTGTAATCCTAGCACTTGGGAGGCTGAAGCAGGAGGACTGCTGTGAGTTTGAGACCAGCCTGGGCAACATAGCAAGGTCAAGGCCAGCATGAACTACATAGTAAGACCTTGTCTCAAAAAAAAATAAAAAATAAAAAATAAAAAAGGGCTGGGAATGTAGCTCAGTGCAAAGACCCTGGGTTCAATCTCTAATAGCTCTCTCTTACACAGACACACACGCACATGGCTTAAATAAAACAGTAGGAGGCTGGGGATTTAGCTCAGTGGTTCTGTTGCCTGCCTCGCAAGCACAAGGTCCTGAGTTCGATCCCTGCTACCAAAAAAATATAAAATAAACACTAGAACAGTGAGAGAAGTCTTCTAGCTTCCCAGCTGGTCCCCTCTGCAGGTAGGAGATGCTCTCAGCCAGACTTTCTGTGAAACACCAAGAGGAGGAATGGAGGCCTTCTCCAGGCAGGGACCCAGTCCCTTTATCTCCTGACTCCCTTTGCTGGCAGCTTTAAGTCCTGAGACAGAAAGGGGATTGCTTTAGAATGGGTGGTTTCAGAATTTGGGGCAGGCATAAGCATGTGGAGAACCACTCCATAAACACAGCACCCTGAGATACTTGTGCTCTTGCCCCATCCTCGGATGGCCACTTGGTTCTCTTTGGTCTCTCTTTGCTGGAGCTCAGAATTTGTCTCAAAGTTGCTTTCCAGCTAAGTCTTGGGCAGCTTTCAGAAGATCCATAAACCTTGGGCCACCTATACCACCAAAGCCAGGAGGAAAGACCCTTTTTAAGGAACCCTCCCAGCTTGTAACCACTGCGCCACCCCCAGAAGATCAACAAACCTCTCTAAAACCAGGCGGTTGACAGTCTCATTGGCCACTGGTGTCAGGTTCAAGGTTTCCTGTAACATCGTTAGCTTCTTTCTCAGGCTCTTGGGGAGGGAAAGTGAGGAGTGCAAAAGCTGAGTGCAGACATACTGTAGAGGACAGGCAGCATGTGGGAAGTGCGCTGGGAACAGAGCAAGACCTGAAGCCCAACACAGGCTGCAGAACCCCTCTCTGGGAGAGCCTTTCCTCTGGTGACCAAGGACCTTGGGAGGTAGGTGCACAATACATTGTTTTTGTTTTTGTTTATTTTGGTACCAGGGATCAAACTCAGGACCTTGTGTGCTTGCAAGGCAGACGGTGGCACCACTGAGGTAAATCCCTGGCCCATGGTGTGGAATACATTGTGAGGAAAGGCACAGGCTATAGACCAGACCGGGGTCAAATGGTACACTCTGTCCTACCCCTTGTCCCAGGAGGATCTGGGATCCCAGAACCACCACCACAGTCTAGTACATTGATTCTCAGGAAGAAACAACGAAGCCCTACTCTTTCTTTTCTTTTTTTTTTGGAGACAGGGCCTCACCATGTAGTTCAGACTGGCCTTGAACTTACTTTGTAGCTCAGGCTGGCCTCAAACTCATGCCAATCCTCCTTCCTCGGCCTCCTCCCAAATGCTGGGATTTAGGTGTGCGCCACTACATCCAGCTATCCAAGCTCTACTCTTAGAGGCACATAAACCACCCCTTATTCTCATCAAGCCAGGGACATCTCTCACCGTGATTTCCTTGTCAGCATTCTGCAAGTCCTTCTGAGCTGACTTTAGCTCCAGCTTGGTCTGATCCAATTCAGAGCAGACTGTTTGGAACTACAAGAAAGTATAGGGAGAGCTAGGTGTGGTGATGCATGCCTGTAATCCCAGCAACTGGAAGGCTGAGGTAGGAGGACTGTCCTGCATTCAAGGCCAGCCTGGGCTACACAGTGAGTTGAAGACCAGCCTAAACTACACAGGAAGATCCTGTCTCAAACAAAACAAACCACAAGAAAAGAAAGTATAGGGATTACAGGACAAGCCAAATAGTGGCTATATGCTCTTCCCTCTTCCTACTGGTACCCAGTTCATGGTCAGGGTAACTTAGTGTTCAGAAGAAACTAGGGGTTTGAGGGAGACCCCAGCCATCAGGGGCTAGGCTTCAATCTGGTAATGCATGTGTGGGGCTGCCCAGGAGTAAAAGTGCTCTCTGGACACTGTACCTTGTGGCTACATCATCTCAGAAGTGAAAACAGCTGACCCAGGAGCAACACTGAGCCTGGTATTAGGCCTCTGAGCTGTTACATTTGGTGCCTGTGTTCTCCAGTCAGCTGAGAGGTACCAGGAGCCAGGAAGAGAAGAAAGGAGCATGAGTGTGCACTGCTGGGGGGATACTTTCATGATCTGTTGCCCCAAGAGGACAAGCCACATGGTAAGAGACAATGCCCAGTAAGGACCAGTAACCAGTCCCTGTAAGCCAGCCACCAGGCCCATGGAGCCAGATATATTCTCAGGCCCCCTGGCCTAGCTCAGAAGATGAGTATGACAAAAGGGCCATCTTTCGCTCCTTGCACAGGTACCTTGTTTTTGGAGAGGACCAAGTCTTTCCGTAACTTGTCAGCCAGCTCCCCTGAGGCCTTCCGCACCTCTTTCAGATTCTCATATTCTCTGCAAAAAAAGCCACAAAAAAGAGATGCCAAGTGAAAATGGCCATACTTCCAAAACTACTATATAGATTCAATGCAATCCTGACTGAAATTCCAACAATATATTTCAAAGAACTAGAGAAAACAATCCAAAAATTCATTTGGAACCAGAAGAAACCTAGAATAGCAAAAGCAATTCTA